TCATAGAATTATATTCTAATCTAATACTAATACATATCAATTGGAAGTGCATTTCGCAGACGCAGTTCGTGTAGGCCTACTTCTTTCTGCCTGTAACTGATCACCCCGTCTCTGGTCGATGGCAGAACATGTTTAGAGTGAGAACCACTGCTCCAAACAAGTTACCCTATTAAAGTCAAACAATGCAAATATAAGACCTACAGAAAACATATGCAACTTTCACAATTGTGAAAAAGTTTGAGCCACCTTGTCCTTTTTACTCATTTCAACTGATTTTACTTTATTTATTATAATACCTAATCCTGCATTGTGCTCAACTTCATGCATTTCATCTTCCTACTGCCCCATAAAGTCCTTATTTTTCTAAATCCGCTGAAACAGATTAATAATTTCTAATATATCTAGATTCTGCCCAAAGCCCTACAAGAGATTGACAGAGGGGGTTTATGGGTATTTATCATGCCCAGTGGAGTTGGTGAGTAATTACTTGCAGGCACAGTGCAATCTATCACTTTAACAGACAACTCTTTACAAGCAGCACAATGTTATCTTCTCGTTGCCGTGTTTTCTTTTTATCTCTGCTTTGGTTAGCTTGCGGGCTGCTGTAGAGCATAATAATGTCCTTGTTGTTTTTGGAGGCTATTAAACTCATTAATACTGCATGAGAGACGGGGATAAATTGAAACATTTCCTATATCTACTTTGACTTTCTGAACTCTATTTTTGCAGTGTAATTCCACTTATTAAAGGTGCCAAAAGCTAAGATGCAGCAGGTCAAAGTCACTGTACTGCATGTATGTCAGCTCTGTAGTCCAAAATCAAGTGCAAATGCTTAACTTATTCTGCAAAGGAAGGCAACTAAAATGTTTACCTCGGCCAATTTAAAATAAATGAATTAGAAGGCATGGTAATTATTACATATATACTTGATCAGGGTTTACCGACTTTAAGTTTGTGAATACATACAAGCTTTACATGTGAACTTCTAGATTCCCAGCAACCTGGGAAAAATGAAGCCGATGCGGAAATGCATTTTTACTGTCTGCTACTATGTAAGAATTGCTAGAAACTCACAGTACTCTCACATCCTGGCTGTACAGCATAACAATGATGCTACAAAGCAACACAATGAGTTTAACTGGGTATTTTGGCTTAGAGACTTTAAGGAGAATTCAGATATCCACCAGGTTTAGGACTGTATCTTTGTATATACATTTTAGAGCATTATAGGTTATTGATTACAAACTGTCCTGTCAATCAGATCCTTAAAGAAGTAGCTGCAGAGAATCGTATAAAGGTAAAAGGTAAGCATAAGTCTGCAAAGAGTGTGCCAAGAGGACTCAGAGGACATTTGGTCTGAATGCTGTGCTCCATGTGAAAAATGTCAGGTACCATTCATAACCTTGCTGACATCATCCGTATGGTGACGCAGGATGGAGCTGCTTCCAGCTGTGGTTGTGTCTCTTAACGGCAGGGAGTAGAAGGTGACTGAAAAGGTTTGAGAGAAGAACCTGCTTCTAGCACACATAATTATTAACGACAATGTAAGGTATGTTGAGTTTATTTATAAAGAGCAGACGTCAAAAAGTGCTTCACATAAAGAATTGAACAGAGATAATACAAACAGACAGTCACATACAATCAAATACAGACGGATCAAACAAAAGAAAGCCTGAACAGATGATAAACCAGAGGTCAAGGCTCTAAGTTCTAGGGGAAGCGTGTTCCAACATGAAGGTGCCACGACTTCAAAAGCACAGTCTCCTTTGTTTTTTAGCCTCGTGAGAGTGATGTGATAACGATTAAAGGATCTAACACCAAGAAAACATGTATTGTTGGGCAAAGTGTCTATAGTGAATCAGAGACTCAGTTGAGCCTCGTCTTAAAAGCGCTGTCTCTGTCTAATTAATACAAATCCAATATATTACAACATATTAACAGTAAAGGCCTTTGCACACCGAGTCTGTTTTCTTCTTCCGAAATTGACGCACGTTAAAAGATAAATTAAATCCCATGTTATGTCAATCATGTTTGCACACTGACGCCGAAACTTTCGTCCGTCATTATTTTTTTTGGAACAGGTTCGATTTTCTTCATCTTCCAGGTCGTTTCGAGGGTTGGTTGACTATTCAGAGACGCCGTAGGCTACTTGCAACGTCGTCATCATCCAAAATGGCATCTGACAGACTGATTCATTTTGTCTCCCAAAACAGTACTCTGTTTGATAAAAAGTCAGCGGAATATAAAGATTCAGAATTTAAAGACCAATTATGGCGCTTGATAGCCAAGCAGCTTGGGATTGGTGATGGTAGGTACTGATCACTAGTTTAAGGATGTCAGCTACGAAATGTAGTGATTGTGTTCCGGGTAGCTAACAATGGCTACATTTTGATTATTTTTTATAGTGGAAGCTAAGAAGAAAATGTAGCGCAACCTGTTAGCATAATACAGGATATAGGCTACAAGAGGAAAAATGATGCTTACACCATAGTAAAATTTAATAGCCGCAAATAATATTGTGTGTGTGTTTGCAACAATCTTAATAAATTGCTGATTGAGTTAAAGCAAGGCTCCGGATGTAGGCTAAATGTAGAGTAAAACAACTATAGCCGATATCACCATGAAAATCCCCCTTCATAACTTAATCATTTATGCGTCGTGTAGCCTATAGGCTATAAAACGTTTACTGAATTGTATTATTGGATATCAAAATTATTTGTTAAGTGCGATATTTTGCATAGCCTACATTTTCAAAACAGAAATCTGACCATTGGGAAAAAAAACTTTTCTTATGATGTTGACATTGTCAAATGGTTTTACAGAAGGAATTATTGATAACTGTTTTAATCACACAATCATTCGAAAGGGAAAACAGCTGGGTTTAATTTAGCTGGCCGATTAAATTATCAATGGCAAAAATGTCCGGTGAGATGGGCCAACACATTTTCTGTAATTTCGGGCTATGTTTAGATGATGAATGAAGACTTGTAGGCTATTGACTCTGGTAGAAAGGTGGGATAATGCAGACTGATAACAAGACAACCATTGACCAAGATCTCGTCTGAACATTCACTAAACCAGGTGAAAGTAATGTGTGCGTGCGTACGTCAAACATACTGCCAGCCGCTGTTCAGGATCAATTGCTTCGCGGAAATTGGTGTTCTTCTTTTTACACACACACACACACACACACACACACACACACACACACACACACACACACACACAATCACACAACATTTGACGTTTAGCTCAGGTGCCTCCCATTTCTCTTGATCATCTTTGAGATGTTTCTCCCCCCTTCCTGGAGTCCATCTGATTTTGAAAGGACCATACCTGTCTATTTAAGGTCTCACAGCTGACATATCAGAGGAAGAACCAAGCCAAGAGGTCGAAGGAACTGCCTGCAGAGCTCAGACGGGATTGTGTCATGGCACAGATCTAGGGAAGGCTACAAAAAAATGGCGATAATTTATTTTTACAAGTCCCGCCTCTGATAAGCCATATGGCCAATCATAGATTTGGATTTTGGGGTGGCACCTGGGAAGGCAAATAGGATTTCAATGGGGGCCCCACCCTGCACCTTAAGCGGGGTACATACTGCAAGATAATTGGGCCGATTCCCTCCTTCCGACCAAAGTCAGCAAAGGCCGAACTATCTTGTCAGACTCTCTGTGGTGTGTTGGGAGGGATTTTACCCACCCCAATCTGCTCGGAAGACGATCAGGTCCGCCACGATTTTGAAATCTTTGATTGATTTCAATATTTACCATCAGAACTCCTCTTGTGGGGAAGGAACACAGAGGAAGGCTGAGCATGGACTCTCTGGATTGTCCCGTGGAACGGAATTTACACCAATCAGGAAGCAAGCTGACTGAAGCAGTAAGCACATCAAACATTACCAAGGCGACGACAGCAAAAAGTTGGATGGATGTCAGAAATTCAAGACCAACTTGTTGATTTGTGGCAACAACTAGAGTGTTTCTACGTGTCCTGTAATACCAAACCACAATCATACTGACCAAAATGTTTACAATAATTGACGTACAGTTAGCCACATCTAGCTTGACCATCATGTTTGTTTACTTTTACAGCAAGTCAGAGATTACACGTTTAGATAGTCAAGACTGGTTGTTGGTGAATGAATCGGTTAGTGTGTGGTGTGCTGAGTCGGTCATCTCGTTGCACACCACACACTATGAAAGCTGAACTGTTAATCTGTCATGATTTGCTTTCACTTTTTAAAAATCGTTTTGTGCGTGATAGTTTTTAGCAGAATTAGGATGCTAATGATCCGACGAGGCTTACATTTCTAGCTCCGTCCTCCAGATAGTTAAGAACTGAAGAAGCCTTTCGATGGAGGAGAGGTGAAACCACTGAAACAAACAACTTTAAGACGATTTCTTAGCGTCATGTTCATTTATTGGTATAAAGCTTAAACACAGCTTGTGCAAAAAGGTACATCTCAATATATAATTTTCAGGTCACACATCAAATAAATTTTCACCTAAACAATGAGGACATTAAATAGTCAAAGCGAAGAACATTCATATAAAAACCATTAATTCTAAAAACTGAAAATACAGCATTGAAAAAAAGACCACAGCAGCAAAATACATGATAATCACAATTCACACATTTCTTCAATAAGTATTCACCATGACGACCGTGTTTTACAGAGGACGTCACACCTACCAGGAGCTAGGGTGTAAGATTTAAAGGTCACATATTGTCTTCTTTAACCACTGTAAATAAGTCTCAGAGCTCCTTAAAACATGTCTGTGAAGTTTCTTGTTCTAAATCCACTCTGATCCTGTATTTGAGCATGCCTATAAACCCCTCTATTTCAGCCCTGCTCAGAACAGGCTGTTTCTGTGTCTGTACCTTTAAATGTAAATGAGCTGTGTCTGACCACGCCCCCTCTCTGGAAGGGCTTGGGTGTACTCAGTCTTTCTCGTTCCATGTCCTATTGTTTACGGGGAGAAGGCAGACTCAGAGGGCAGAACAAACACCTAGCTGTGGGAGTGTCACCCACCTGGGGGAGGGGTTACTGCCCTTTGTGATGTCATGAAGGGAACTCCGTCCTGAATTAGGAAGTCGTTCCCAACTCTCTCTCTCTCCCCTGTTTCTAACTCTATCCACTGTCCTATCTCTAAATAAACGAATAAAATAAAATAAAATAAAAATAATTAAGAAAATAATAAAAATAAACCTTCCTTTAATTTACTTCAAATAGTTTTGAAGGGCAGGAAATTTGTTTTTAGTCAGTTTTTATCCTTATTTTTTGGACACCCTGGCAGAATTGTCCCCCCTCCTGTTTTTCATTCTTCTCCAGGATTCTGTTGCTCTTTATTACCACGTGGAAGCAATACGCCTTTGTAAAAATTAGTTGTTGTTTTCTTTTGCTTGGACATAATTGTTCCCCCTAAATTTGCCTAAATTTTTCAGGATTCTCATGCTGTTGTCATGGAAGTAGGATTTTTCTGGTATTGCTGCTGCCTTCATGTGATACTGTACCGACCTGTGGTGGTCTTCTCGATTAAAATATAAATGATTTGCATATATGTTGTAAAGCATCTGTTTGTCGGCAGGTTCTGCAGGTTCATTGTCGAGCAGCTTCTGAAATATCTGCTCAGCTTTGGCCTTGCTGTGACTTGACTTTGCATAGATAGATGCGAGATCTGTTTCCTTTTTGAGTGCAGCATGAGGGTAAAGAGAGAGCAACTCCTCGTGGAGAGCGATTGCTCTGTCCACCGTGTCATCAGGGCAATTTCTGCTTTTATAAATAATCTTCCATCTGTAGCAGAGCGCAACACATTTCTTCAGATAACGCACATCTGGATGTTCTTTCAGAACTTTCTCTGCCAAATCAATGGCGTCATCAACTGTTATGTATTTTATGTAAAGGTTTAGTAAGGCCCACATGCCACTGCCACTGCACCACAGAGTGCTCACATTTCCAACCAACTCACAGACTTCATCTTTAATGGGTCCTCTTTTATTAGCAAGTTGCTCAAGGTAGAGCACAGCGAGGTACAAGTTCTCTGGATCCTGTTCCTTGGCTTGTCTCATTTTCTCCAAGAGGTCAGGGTCTAGGTTTGTGTTGTGGTTATGCTCATGATCATCAACTAACGCTAAGACATAGCCGGTGTTCCACTCCACCATGTCCGGCTGCATCCTGGCAGCTTTCTCGTAGTAATCAACAACCAGCTTCCTATCCTTTCCAAAGTATATCAGGGTCCAGGCCTTTTCAGCGTAGATCTCTGGATGGAGCTCGTCCTGGGATGGAGATGGGTATTTTTCCATCAGGGCATCAATCTTTGACAGGTAAGCCTGACTCTCTACTAGATCTCCCAGGTGGTGGTGCAGCCAGGCCAGGTTCCCGTAGTTCACAACTAACCAAGGACCCTCATCTGCATCTCTTAGCTTGTTGAGGGTTTCTGCAGCCTTCTGGAACAAACTCTTAGCCTCTTCATTTAACCCCAGCTTATACTGAATGAACCCCCACAGGTTGTAAATGTGGCCCAGCCATTTGTTTCCCTCCTCTGTGCTGAAGTCCTCCATCTTGTGCGTGAGGCGTAACAGTTCTGGCCTGCTGCGGTCCAGGTCCCAGGTGAAGTGGCACTGCAGGGACTCCAGTGTGGTTTGACTCTGAGCAGCACTGATGGAGAATAAAAAAAACAAACATTTAAACACAGCTAATTTGGATATGCTTTGAAGTGTGCTATGTAAGTAGGTCTATATCTTCCCAGAGGAAAATTTTACTGCTCAAGGCTTTCTCTTCTGCATCTCGGGAGACAAAAATTTGATTCTCATCCCAGCCTCTTTCAAGTTTCAAATATTTCTCATTTATTTCTTTTTTGTTTCTCCTAAAATTCACTTGGAGAAATGGTTGAGACTATAGCCACAGGAGTCTTATTTGAGACTTAAAGCAGATATCTTGTTAATGGCTCATTGTCATCTCCAAAGGAGAAAATAATGAGACAAAGAGAGACTGTGATGAGCCTACTAAAATTAAGCAGCCTTACAAATTCCAACCTACATAATAAACATCAAATGATCAACATTTGTTTCAATAAAAACGAACAACTTGATATGTTATAACAAATACTTTATTAAAACAGCTGACTAGGAAGCAAGTCTTCATTTTCATCATCAACCAATACTGATGCTTCTATAAAGAACAGGTTTCAGCTGGGTGACCAACAAAACTAAACAGACAATCAGCAAGTTTGCCTTTTTCTGTTATTTTTAGTGCCTGTTACTGCTTCTATGGGATAACGTCAGAACAAAACATAAATGTATCTTCACAGCGAGTGGTACTTTTGACTGTAACAAATAAATGGGATGACATTTTTTGTCAGAACACAATTCTTAACATGTATAAATAAACAAAATCAACAAACAACATATCGCTATGCGCACAAAATCTATGCAGACTGCAAGTTCTGCATATAAGCTTTAACCTAGACTCTTTGCAGAAACACCTACTTTTAGAACAGTATCTGGTGATGGGAAAACAATCCACAACATTAACAATTTCCAGTCCTTTACATCATGCAGCATTTCTTAATTAGATGGTCTCAAAATATCCATTCAATGTGTCACATTCAAGCCCTGAGCCCTCATGCGACACTTGTTTTTGAGGGCTTTCTTGGCCTTTGCTTTCTCCACTGGTGTCCACCCTTTCCATGTGCCACAGTGCATGACGTAAGCTGCAAAAATAAAAGAAAGCACAAATCACAAAAAAATAATTACAGATTAATACAGTAACAGTGTTCTTCATGGAGTCAACTCATGAAGTTCATCAAGTTTTTAGTTGACATCCAGTCTTTGGAGTTTCCTCATTTTAACTTCATATCTTGTGCCTTTCAAATTACCGCTGACTTCTGACTAGATGGTGCAGAGAGCAACAGGTGAAATAGCTATAGGCCATCAGATTTAATTGAAAAAATCAGTAATTTTTACCTTATGAAATTATGTCTGTGGCTAAATTAAAAGATACCTATTTCTCTAACGAGTACATATTTGGACTGTGGGAGAAAGCCGGAGTGCATGGACATGCACGCATAGGGAGAACATGCAAACTCCACACAGGAAAAGGCCTGTCCAACGGGCATTTTAGAAGGAATTTTCTTGCTGTGAGGCTACAGTGCTAACCACTGCACTACTGTGCAACCTTGTAAAATATAAGTAAGAAATTTTTAAAATACAGACAGAGAGCAGAATAAACAGCATATACTTCTGGATTATAAATATAATAATAATAATATTTTATTCTCACATTATTTGTTTCATTTTGCAATTCATTGCAATAAACAGTGTGTCAAATTTTGGTATGTGTTCAGAGATCCTTTCTAATTTGCAGGATGGAAATAAAAAATGAGAGCATTTATGTATGTATATATATATTTATATTTTGGGTGTCCAGCTGGTCATTGTTTATGTCACTGCTGTCATAACAAAGGTAACAACTGGTATCCTTACTCTAGTATGTGTTATGGTTTGGTCTTTTTCTAGTTTGGTTTTTCAGTGTTTAGTGTTTCATGATTTAGTTTGTAGTTGTCCTCTCTGTTTCTTGTATTCCTGTCTGTGTGATTGCCCTGATTGTTCTCACCTGTGTCTTGTTAGTCTCACCTGTGTCTGATTCCCCTGTGTATTTAGTCTCTGTGTTTCTGCCCCTCCGTGTCAGTTCATTGTTGCATGTTGTGGTATGTAGTCTGTATGTCGTTCCCTAGTTGTCAGTTTGCTAGTGTCTCCTGTGCTTCCTCGTGGCTCCTTGTTTTTTTTCGTGTTTTGGCATTTTGATCTTTATTTTAAATAAATTCTTTCTTTTGGTTCTGCACTTGGGTCCACCTCCTGTGTTTTACTCACCGAACCGTAACAGTATGCACACTGAAAAAAGGGTCAAAATGAGTGATATACTTACTTAAAATCTCATTCACTTTTGACTTCTCCCAGACTGTCTTCCCCTCTGGCACTTTTCCATGTTTCCCAAATGCCACTGCATTTTGGCACTCCTCTGATGGTGCCTCTGTTGGTGTTGGTGACCAACACCAACTCTAGGTCGTAGTTGCTCAATACTCTCCAAAAAGCTTTTAAAAGCATTAAGTTGGTCACCACCTATAACAGACAAGGGGAATTATTTAAAGATAGTGGCATTCAGAGTTAAGAAAAAGAAGGAAATAGTTTTAAATTTGATACAGGACATCATTTATTGATTTATATCTTAGGGCAGGGTAATGCCAAGTTAAGTCTAACATCAAGATCCCTCCTGGATGAAACACTGTTAAATGCTGAGCGGTGAAATAACAATATAGTTACCATCTTGGTCATCTTTTGGTGAGCCAGGAGCTGGTTCATTAAATCTCTTAAGTGGGTTGCGGGCTCGTTTGGGAACCTCTTTTTTAGGTTGTTCTGCAGGGCATTGCATCCTGAAATACAGTACACAGAAGTAAAACATTTATAAGTGGTTCTAAGTTTTTTGTACGACCATGCCGGTGATGCTGTTTACATCCCGAACAAACAGAATAACGAGGTTAAGATTAGCCAAAATCAATGACTTTACGCTGTTTTATGATCTGTAATTTATGAAAGACAAACAAGTTTAGCTGTGAAATAACCTTTTGTTGTAATTGACTCAATCGATAAGCTCTGAAACAACTGAAAAAAAAAAACCTGGGGTGCCTTGCTGCTAACCGCTAGATAACCTGAGCAAGTTCATAGCCACGTGCTAAAGTAGCTTACTAACTTTGACACTCGGCACCTGAAGACCAAATTCCTCAATGAAGTATCAGAACCAACACAAAATCACAAGGACGGGAAGTGATGGTTCTTTTAACCAATCAGTGGACTGCGGTATGTCTAGATCCTACCCTATTGGTATGCGTGGCACCCCAACAGAAGGGTACCAAAAAAGTAGGATGGTACAGATCGGTTATTTGGTACTGTTCCCAACTTTTGACAGTGGAAAAGTCAACAAATGAGTACCGGACCGCTTGGTGGAAATAGAGCAATAAACTGCCCTACCTGTAATCGTGACTTGTCACCTTGCAGTGAAAATGTTTGGAGCGTAAATTAAGACCAAGGAGAGCCTGGCTACAAGAATTGTCAGTCAACGGCACAGTCGTGTGCAATTAGCTGTCAGAACAGAGGGAGGCGTTTCCTTTTCAACAAAATCTTTTCATTGGCTGTTATGAAGTGTCAACAAAAGGTCAGCGGAGTAGCTTGAACAGTTATGTGGATCGTTATGGATCTAATATGTTTGAATTCAAACTTTTACTGGATGACAGGTTTCGTTTATGACTTATTCATTATGACTTTATGAATAAACTTTTACTGGATATAAATTGTTGGGACTCAATTTGGTGGATTATTATGATCATGAGAGTTCAGTAAATCTTCAAATGTTTAAAAGACAGTTTAATTATGCTACAAAAACAACAACAACAAAACATTTGACCATGTAAATCCTTTGGGGAGTGGTAATAATGACCCTGTCCCAACTTTTTTTGAAATGTGTTACTAGCATAAAATATTAAATTGTCATAGTTTTCCAAAAAACATTCAAATGTCTCAGCTTCAACAGTTGACATGTTGTCTTTGTGCTATTTTTAATTCATTAGTCTTTATCTTTACATTTTAAAGGGGTTCTTTGTTGTTAACATGTACTTCTTAAAATGTATTCTTCCTTTATAAAGTAATTTACATATATATATACTTTGTTTTTATTGCCTGAAAGACCAGCAATTGAAAAGTTAACGTGCAACCTGATTGTGTGCAACTAAAATTATGATCAAATAAATCTTGAAACTTCCTACTGCTGCGGCTGATACCTAACTTCCTTGTACCTTAAGTATGTTTTTATAAAACAGCAGAGTATTTATATTCTGTGGTAATCCTTATTTCACTGAAGGTAAATTTACAATTATAATTCCACCTCTTCAGAAATAAATAACAAAAACAATCAGTCATAACATTAAAATATAAAAAACAAAAATCTAAATTTTGACCCCAGACAAACACAATGTCACAAAAGCCTCAAAGTGAGAAAAGTAAACGTATGAAACACTAAAATAATGAAGCTAAAGAGGAAGAAAAAGACAAAAGGGAAAGGTTTTGGAATTCATAAATTAGAAACATGTAAACATTCGTATGCAAGTCAGATACTCATCTCATCTTTCTGCTGTTTCTTCCTCTCAGTCGTTTTCTGAAGATGACTTAGTCAAGCAGATGTTTCCTCTTGATATTGCTCTCTGATTACAGTCAGTCCAGCTTCAGCTCTCTGGTGTGAATGACGTGATGATGTGCAGTAGCAGCTTTAAATGTCCGTGACAGAGGCGTGACACGTGGGAAGTCGTAAATCCACCTTTCTTTATCAGCAGGATGTTATCTGACTCTCTTTTCTTGAGAATGCTGTTACTACATTACTACGAAATCATCATCTTGTGTTTAGGGGGCCTGTCACTCACTTAGACCATAACACCGGGAAAGTTGTGGATGTAACCGAGGGATAAAAAACAAACTTCAAATGAATTGAAGTCATTTAATCTTTTAGACAGAGGCATTTTCCTTCTAATCACAGTGATGACGTGGAAAAACTCAGTGGTGATCTTGACCGGTCTTTTTTGAAAATCTGGAGTCCACCCAGTCTGATACCGAGACAAGACCAAGTAAAAATGCTTTGGATTCAGAGAAGAGGCCGAGACCTTAATGGTGTGGTTCCAGTAAATTTAGCAGTGTATCAAACTCGACCACTGACATCCTGAAATACACCCGGAAGCGATCGGGATAATTCCACAGCTCCTTTACCAGCAGGTGAAACTCTCCTTGCTCTTGTCTTGTTTTCAGAAGTAGATAAACCCAGTGTTTTCTTTTTCCCACCATGTTGTTAACATGTACTTCTTCTTAAAATGTATTCTTCCTTTATAAAGTAATTTACGTATATATACTTTATGTTTTTATTGCCTGAAGGACCAGCAATTGAAAAGTGAACGTGCAACCTGATTGTGTGCAACTAAAATTATGGTCCAATAAATCTTGAAACTTCCTACTGCTGCAGCTGATACCTAACTTCCTTGTACCTTTATAGTAGAGGAACTTGGGCCCCTAAAAGTTGAGAGACCCCTACCCGAGGTAGAACAAAGCACGACCATATTTTTTCATAACTTGAACATGTCTAGTTTATGAAACGAATTGTTGTATAAAAATATTTTACTGCAAAATAACTTTTTTTGGACTTTTTATGCATCTTACCAAAAAACGAAAATAGGTCAAATTAGGGCTTCTCCAAAAGGGACAGCTCTAGCCTTATCACATGTATCTCTGGGAATCGGAATCAGAATTTCACAAAATTTGGACAGGATGTTCACAGATAGTTATTAGTTACAATTATGCAATTTTATCAATACCATTTTAATTTTTTGAATTTTTCACACTTAAACACACATGTAGTTTAGGCGGAAATTGAAAATTGAAACAAAAATTTAAAAGGTATGTATATCAAAGTCTGTCATTTTTTAAGTAAGGACACCAAACATTAAAATATGTCATTTGTATCTTCTTTAGACTGTTATCTCAACATAAAAGCAAGTTATGTGACTTTTCACTTGACCCTATTCTGTCACCAGCCCCTAACAGGAAACTAGTGCAGCCAGGATTTCAGGGACGACCTGGTACAATGGGGCCCTATGGATGTGTATGTGGGAGGAGGTGGCCACAAACAATTGATTAAGACTTAACAAGACACAATATAATTGTATTCTGTAATATATATATATAATTAAACATTTTATAGTTATTCCTAATACATTTTGTCTCATATTTTCTATCTTACATGTGATTTATATGATGACACTCAGAATCAACCCGCTGCTTTCAACAATATTGTCACCTATGACATTGTTTCTATTTCATTCTAAAAAATTAAAGCATTGTCTTGACATCAGTTGTGAAATATTAATGAACTAAACAACAGTATTGATATATATAACCTTGAGTTCTTAGAAATTAAACATACTTCATATAGTCTATTAGTATATCGGCCATACAGCCTGTTGTAGTTTTTTAATGTATTTCAGTCATATAAAGATGGTGTGTAGTCACCATATCTCCTGCTTTTAAGATGAACCCTAGTTACTCCAGAGGATACACTGGATGAAGGGATAGTTTTTATAATACCTTAAGTATGATGAAGTGTCCTTACTTAAAAAATGACAGACTTTGATATACATACCTTTTGAATTTTTGTTTCAATTTTCAATTTCTGCCTAAACTACGTGTGTGTTTAAGTGTGAAAAAATCAAAAACTGAAAATGTTATTGATAAAAAAACTTTGCATAATTGTACCTAATAACTATCTGTGAACATCCTGTCCAAATTTTGTGAAATTCTGATTCTGATTCCCAGAGATACATGTGATAAGGCTAGAGCTGTCCCCTTTTGGAGAAGCCCTAATTTGACCTATTTTCGTTTTTTGGTAAGATGCATAAAACATCCAAAAAAAGTTATTTTGCAGTAAAATATTTTTATACAACAATCCGTTTCATAAACTAGACATGTTCAAGTTATGAAAAAATATGGTCGTGCTTTGTTCTACCTCGGGTAGGGGTATCTTGAAAACTAAAGCCTTTTTTGGGGGTTTGTTCCTCTACTATTATTATGTTTTTATAAAACAGCAGAGTATTTATATTCTGTGGTAATCCTTATTTCACTGAAGGTAAATATACAATTATAATTCCCCCTCTTCAAAAAAAAACAAAAAAAACAATCAGTCATAATATTAATTCCTTAAAAGGAAACAGAAATTAAAATCTTTTTTTTTTTTTTTTTTTTTTAAAGATATATTTTTGGACTTCTTAAACCTTTAATGGAGAGATAGGACAGTGGATAGAATCGGAAATCAGGGAGAGAGAGTAGGGAATGACATGCATGAAAGGAGCCACAGGCGGGATCGAACCTGGGCCGCCCGCTTGGAGGACTATAGCCTCCATACATGGGGCGCGCGCACTAACCACTGCGCCACCAGCGCCCCTAAAATCTAAATTTTGACCCCAGACAAACAAAATGTCACAAAAGCCTCAAAGTGAGAAAAGTAAACGTATGAAACACTAAAATAATGAAGCTAAAGAGGAAGAAAAAGACAAAAGGGAAAGGTTTTGGAATTCATAAATTAGAAACATGTAAACATTCGTATGCAAGTCAGATACTCATCTCATCTTTCTGCTGTTTCTTCCTCTCAGTCGTTTTCTGAAGATGACTTAGTCAAGCAGATGTTTCCTCTTGATATTGCTCTCTGATTACAGTCAGTCCAGCTTCAGCTCCCTGGTGTGAATGACGTGATGATGTGCAGTAGCAGCTTTAAATGTCCGTGACAGAGGCGTGACACGTGGGAAGTCGTAAATCCACCTTTCTTTATCAGCAGGATGTTATCTGACTCTCTTTTCTTGAAAATGGAAACTTAAGTCCTCAGTTTCCCTGCAATTTATTCAAAGAGGAAAAAGTTCCTTCTCAAAGAATTGATGTATAGCTGTAGTCACTTTTTGCTAGATTCCTTAGTAGTGCTGTAGTCAAGACCACACAAACTGAGACCAAGACATAACCGAGACATTTAGGGGTCTAGACCAATGAAGACCAAGACCAAGGCAGAGTGAGACCGAGACAAGACCAAGACATTTAGGTATCGAAACCAAGGCAGGTCAAGACCGAGTCAAGACCAAGACCAAGACGGGGCTTGAAGGAGACAAGACCAAGACCATAAACATTACTACGAAATCATCATCTTGTGTTTAGGGGGCCTGTCACTCACTTAGACCGTAAGACCGGGAAAGTTGTGGACGTAACCGAGGGACAAAAAACAAACTTCAAATGAATTGAAGTCATTTAATCTTTTAGAAAGAGGCATTTTCCTTCTAATCACAGTGATGACGTGGAAAAACTCAGTGGTGATCTTGACCGGTCTTTTTTGAAAATCTGGAGTCCACCCAGTCTGATACCGAGACAAGACCAAGTAAAAATGCTTTGGATTCAGAGAAGAGGCCGAGACCTTAATGTGGGGTTCCAGTAAATTTAGCAGTGTATCAAACTCGACCACTGACATCCTGAAATACACCTGGAAGCGATCGGGATAATTCCACAGCTCCTTTACCAGCAGGTGAAACTCTCCTTGCTCTTGTCTTGTTTTCAGAAGTAGATAAACCCAGTGTTTTCTTTTTCCCACCATGTTGTTAACATGTACTTCTTCTTAAAATGTATTCTTCCTTTATAAAGTAATTTACGTATATATACTTTATGTTTTTATTGCCTGAAGGACCAGCAAGTGAAAAGTGAACGTGCAACCTGATTGTGTGCAACTAAAATTATGGTCCAATAAATCTTGAAACTTCCTACTGCTGCAGCTGATACCTAACTTCCTTGTACCTTAAGTATGTTTTTATGAAACAGCAGAGTATTTATATTCTGTGGTAATCCTTATTTCACTTAAGGTAAATATACAATTATAATTCCACCTCTTCAAAAATAAACAAAAAAAACAATCAGTCATAATATTAATTCCTTAAAAGGAAACAGAAATTAAAATAAATAAAAAAAATGTTAAGATTTATTTTTGGACCTCTTGATCCTTTAATGGAGAGATAGGACAGTGGATAGAATCGGAAATCAGGGAGAGAGAGTAGGGAATGACATGCATGAAAGGAGCCACAGGCGGGATCGAACCTGGGCCGCCCACTTGGAGGACTATAGCCTCCATACATGGGGTGCGCGCACTAACCACTGCGCCACCAGCGCCCCTAAAATCTAAATTTTGACCCCAGACAAACAAAATGTCACAAAAGCCTCAAAGTGAGAAAAGTAAACGTATGAAACACTAAAATAATGAAGCTAAAGAGGAAGAAAAAGACAAAAGGGAAAGGTTTTGGAATTCATAAATTAGAAACATGTAAACATTCGTATGCAAGTCAGATACTCACCTCATCTTTCTGCTGTGTTTTCTTTTTCTTTTCTCAAGTAGTTAAAGAACCACAAAATCATCGTCACTGCTTGATGAATCCATTTTTCTCGTACTGCAATTATTTAATTAATAGCAAAATTAATAGAAAAATAAACGCATCGGATTCAGTTTTGCAAGGTGTCTTTGCGTGACTTTTTCTTTTTTCAGATTACGGATCCAAACAACGCATTCGAAAATAACGGACTCAGTGTGCAAAGGCCTTCAGTCACCATGACAAACAAAAAATTAGAAAGGTACTTTCTAAGTGAAGCAGACTGATCAGTGGCTGATGTATAGGTCTGTTACTATGACTACAGACTCTGACCTTTAAATAGGATCTACAGTGGGCGTCTAAATTGCAAAAATCCTTATAAAACTTAAATCAGAGAGAAGAAGCTGTGAGATTAGAGGGTTTATCATCTCCTCTGAGAGGTGAGCCAGTCTGTGATGAGAAGGCAAACAAAGCTGCAGGTTAATAAGGAAAAGGACGAGACGCAGGAGGCAGGTATCTTAATGAGGTAGCTGCTTTCCCTTCTTGTTATCAGTCAGAGGCCACCATCTAATCAGTCAGTTAAGGTTTAAGGGAACATTTAGAAGCAGCCTGTTATTTGTCTTTAGACAAATCAGAGCTTAACAAATAGCAGAAGTTTCTGAAAATCAAATAAGATAAACTAGGGTACACAACAACAGGGAAGCGATAAGGAGAAGTGAACTCAACCGTGTTCAAAC